ATTTGGAGATGCCAGATTTGAATGCGATCAAAGAAAAATCTTTGTTTTTACTGTGTATTCCCTGTAGCGGGATATAAAGTCCAAGTTGCTTCGTCGCAACCAGTTGAGAAATAGAGAGTAAATCGGTAACCTTCGAATAATAAAAACATCATGGTATCCTGGCCTGGTCATGTTAAAATGGATGAAATGCACAGCAATGCTGTTCGATTTGAGCTGATCTTATGACTATAATTTGCCTTGACCCACCTGATAGCTGCCCTTTCTCATGTACTATTCAGTGCAGGGTGTAACTTCGGTCTCTGTTTTACTAGCACGGATACGTTTTCATTAAATATGTGCCCATTTGATGACGAAAAATGTCAGCTTATTACTTTTCTTTGGTCATTCTGCTCTGATTCAATAAATCAGAAGATATAAATACCTGACAACTTCTAGTTGTGAAACTGCATTTGGCTTTTCCAATATGATCAGCAGGTACTTAAGCAAAATACTGTTTTTGACCGCATGCTCCGCTGGCTAACCGCCAGAAGCAATGGAAGAGGCGCGAGGGGGACGGGTTATGTGCATGGATAGTTGTGAGAATAATTGAAACAACGGCTGGGAGGCAATAACGGGGCTATGCTAGGACAGAAGACCTCGAAAATTGACGTGTCGTGTAATTAATGACGCTATGTGTCGAGTAAGGCTTCGATAACATGGCCAGCGTATCATCGCCGTGATCAGATCGTTGGCTGTCGCCGATGCCGATCTGAAACAGCGGCCTGCCAGGAGTCTACGGCCTGTTGTGAGTGAACAGCTGTGCTGCCTTCTGGCATGATGACGGCGGCGTTGTGCGTTTTCTTCTCTTGGTGTTTCTGCCATTTCAGTGTTCGGCTTTCGGCGGCCGTCGGTGTCCGAGAGCCAGTGTCCGGTCGAAAACCCTAAAACCGTGTTGCATGTTTTAGTACCTTTGATGTTATGTTTATTGTTTTTGTTGCACATATTTGCGTATGATCTTTTTACCATCGTCGATGTCAAACATGCTAATTAACATGCTTTATTTTCTTCTTTGGTGCCAGCTCGAGCCGATATTGCTTGCCACGTCATGCTTCTTCGTTCGGTTTCGACCGTATGGTATGGTCAGCCATTTCTAAACGACCATTGCATTGTAGAAAATGACCACCACGAAGAAAACTCTTCTTTTTTTAAATGACATTCGGTTACCGTTAATCCGCTGTTTCAGAGCTATCTCTGGAATTCTGCATTTTCACAGCGATCGTTTTTAGCTCGTGAAGATTAACGTGGGCCAATCTCTGAACCATGACAAACCGTCAATTATTTTCTCCTTCAATTTTTTGCCCTTGTTACCGGTTACTTTCTATTCTCTGGTGTTAGACTTATATTGATACGCGTTATTTTAGTTGTGTTGTTTTCTGAATGTTTAACCAAAGGATTACACAAACGTTTAGGCAGATTTATCTAGGAAAATGATACTGTTGTCACGAACCAGAGAGAAATACGTATACTATGCTTCGTAACAATATTTTATAGCTTGCTACATTATACACATTTAATGAAATCTGATATGGTTGTCAGTACTATGTTATTTGGGTTATTTTAATGGCATAATTCTTGAGCAGTGCAGTAATATTACTGACCGTCAAGAAGTATAAGATTTATTACAATATGCAGTATGACGGATTATTATACAAATCACTGTATTTGGCACCTTGAACGTTACTGCACTGTGTTATAAATTATTTTGTGTTACTGTTGCATCAGCAAACTTTTTTCCGCATGTTATACAGTGCTGTCTGATAGACTTATAATACACAGAATGTCATACAGTACCACATAGACATGCAAATAATTGTTCCAGCGCGCTATAGCTTATACCCTGCTCTACTGCTGTTCTGTTAAACCACATTTAAATTCTGTTAGATTATATAGAATAAACTATAAATTACAGTGCCTTACGATGTATGACATGCTAGACAATATTACATATGTAAAATATATTGTATGGTAGGTAGTATAATAGTGTTTGTTGAGATCATCGCCCTTAGAAGTTCGCATTAACACGATGTTTTGGCTTGTGCTGTCTGCAACATTTGCTGCTTTCGACACTTAATATTAGACACTGCCTACTATAGACCACCAAAGTTATGGTGTAGTATATATCGCATATAACGCAATAAGTAGCATGTATCCAGTGTACTGTATATGATATATGAACATTGTACAATCTCTGCATCAAATAGTTCGCCGCTTTGGATAAGCAAATCTTGAATATTAGAAGATACTGCTGTTTGTACTACATGAATTTATAACATATAATGAATAGGCTATGATGCCGTTATATGAAGTATTTATATGGTATAGTATATGGGAAATGTTTCAGAATAAACATAAAATCTGTATCATGTGTAAGGCCGTTGTTTCGCTGCAAAAGTTAATGTTTCGTTTGCGTGTTTTTATAGTGTGATATTCCGGTTGAATAAGCTGTATAACAATGCATATAACAATACAGTACTGTAGTACAATATGTGTCGTTTTACAGTACTGTGGTTAAATGACGTATTCCATCGGCATGGTATAGTGTTCTGTTCTGTAAATATGCTGTAGTTACTGTATAATTCTATCCGAAATATTGAGAGTTGTAATTCAAATTCATTCTCGAAGAGACCTGAATTTCTGTTTTGAACTGAAACTACAATAACGACGAAGTACAACACAATATTATGCAGTATTATTGATTGTACAACTAAAGTAAGTACAAAGTATTTACAAAACAGCGTATTATACTCTGCGTATTGAATATGCCATTTAGTCACAATGCAATAACCAGTATTGTAGTAAATATGTATCGTGTAATTTTACTGTGTATAGAATTGTGTCATATGTAGTGTGATACGTTGCATATTCCGTAGGCATAAAATGGTTTGCTGTTCTGTGGATATGCTATAGTTTATTCTCTGTAGTTACTTGTTATATTATTCTATAATTTATGCTGTATATATGCTGTATATATTTATGCTGTACTTTGCTGTTCATCAGCAGTCAGAAAGTTTTCTTCGAAGTTGAATTCGAATCATAACTCAGTACTTCGTGTCCAGTTTTGTAATGGACTATTTTTATTTTTCTGCACACCTTGCCAGAGCATTTGAAAGCATGCTAGTTTTTTGCATAACCAAGTCGCATGCTGGTTTTGTCGACTTTACCCCCACGGCAGGGAAACATACTCTATAATATATTGACCTGGTGGGTGATCAACCATTTTGGTCAATTCCCTTTTCTTGACGTTGGCGCTGACTGCACTTTCTAAAGAGCAAAGCTGTTGAAAATTCAATTGTCCGTAAATCTTGTTCTTTCCTTACCACCGTTCATTTGCAGACCGAAGTTTATACGTCATTAGGCTGTTGTGGGGAGGAGGGGGGAGGCAGCGGTTAATGTCGCGATTGGTTTACCGCTGCGTACTGTTCACGTGGATGTTCTTTTTTCAGAACCGGAACCATCTCTCCATGAAGCCAACGATGGTGTAATGGGTTGTATGTCAAGCACCCCTGAATTTCCCAGTGATGTGCATCCAAACCTGTTTACTGTAGCAACCTGCGATAACTCCGGTCGAGGAGCTGACGGTTACTTGGAGGTAACGCTGGACGAGATCATTTTCCACCAGCGACGTCATGACGCCATGCGTTGGCCGTTACAGTATGTCAAGCGTTACGGCTACGACAACAACATCTTCAGGTGAGTTTGTGTCGGTCGCGATTGCGTGCTTTGTAGATGTTTCGAAGAATATCATTTTTTACATGTTGCTGTTAAATGTAAGATCAGTGGCTTTTATTGTTTACTTTTTCAGGATCTCAAAGCTTCAACAGGTCTTTAGACTCTTCCATTAATTTTTACACACATACAGAAAGGCATGCATTACGGAATTTCGATATATCATGCGGACGGCAGATGAAATCCAACATGTTTTTTTGCATTGCTTTAAGAGGTATATGCAAGTGTTACTTAACAGTGATACGGTATTTAAGTAATTATTGAAATTTTATCCTTTCCTGTGCCCGTATTCTTCTGTTGCATTTATCACAGGCATATCCAAATGGTCGCTTAGGTTTTTTAAAATCGGTCTGAATGTTTTTCTGCAAGTGATAACATTGCTGGCAGTTTCTTACGTTGTAAGTTTGGACGTTGCCTGTGCAAGAAGAGTAAACGACTTCCATGGAGTGCCCTTACGTTATTTTAAAGGCAGAGTTGACCACAGCTATTTGGAAAGCACAGATCAATCTCGGAGGGAAGAAAAGCCAGTGACCCGACATGGATTCGAATTCGGGGTATATCTGTGATGAGTTCATATGTCGGTCGGATGCGCAGATGTCTTAAAGTGTGGATTGACAAGTACAAAAAAAGTGTCTGTAATATTCATAATGGTCTCTTCAGCAGTCTCTCATGGCCGTGAAAATAACAATTTTGATATAGTCTCGTTAATATAATAACAAATATAATAATTATAATAGAAAGCCATAATCGTAAACTAGGTACAGCACAAGAATGATTTAAAAACAGAAATTACCCATGGGTTTACTTTGAAGTCACTGATTAGCATAACATGCATACCGCTTCTTAAGATTGGTGAGATATAATCGTATCGTCTCCTTGATTCTATATGCCATGGAGATTGCTTGAGTGGGCCATGACTCCATGATAGCACTTGTGATATCTGCAGTCCATGTGTGCAAAGGCACATCACAGTGTTCTTTCAAACAACTAGTATTTCTCGATCCGTTTGCAGATATG